CTTAGCTTTGTGCCAAATTTCCTCAATGTACGTAGATGATCATCATTCAGCACGAGGGAATTGGTTTGTCCGTATATGTTTGGCCCATATATGTTCCGATATTCTGTACGTTCGTCCTCTTTTCCCTGAGTCAGATCGATGTTTGCCTTCAACAAGCTAGGCTCCATCGATCCATCTCATGTTACATCCAGAATCCCCAGATGAGAACGGAGTTATTGGAAAAGGAAACATGCATGATAGAGCCATCGTGCATGCGAGAATCACGTCGCTCGGGAGCACAATTACAGGTGCTCCATTTTTCTCCCGCTTCTGCGACAAGCCTCGTAAACCCCAAAAGCTAGCTGATGCTGCTCGATCGGATGGATGCGCTTACGTGCGCGCTGCTTGCGTCGCGTGCTTATGAATTATGATTTGACCCGTTTTGGTTAGTGGCCCAAGGATCGTTAAATCGTTTAATTTGTTTCCCATTTGCTTGGCAATGCAGCCAATGGCAGCGCGGTTTAGTGGTCGCGGGCCATGTCGGTCGCGTGGGCGTCGGTGTCAGGTGGTGTCATTTCCGCGTTGGCATTGGTGTGCGTATGCGTGCAGTGCGTAGGGAGAGGAACACAGCATGCAGCATGATGCGGCCGGCAAATAGCGGACTGCGACTGGAGAGTGGATGGAGAGGAAAGAACCAGATACGCACATGCGTGTGGTATATTGCCGCCGCCAAAAGCGCGGGTGGCGGCGGCGTGGCGCGGTACTACGTCGCGTACGATCGGGCGACGGGCGGGGGCCCGTGTTGGCAGCCGGGGTCGGTCGAGGACTGGCGGAGCCGGGGGTGCGGAGAAGGGGCCGAGGGGCGCAGACGGCCTTGTTCCAACCGGCCCTTTATCCATAGCTCGGCCTGGTTTTCGATTTCTTAGGGGGAAGAAGTACACCTAAGGTCCCTCATCTTGTCATCGGATTAAGAATCGTCATTCAACTGCAAAACCAGATATATATGTCATCCCTCGAATTTACAAAACCGGGTCACTTTAGGTCCTCGGGCGGTTTTGACCCCGGTTTTATCCAATGTGGCAGCTGAGTCAGCATGGGACCCATGTGGGCCCCACATGTCAGGGTGACACGTCATCACCCTCTCTTCCCTCCCTTCCTCTTCTATCTCACTGTTCTATGTGCAGGCCACCTGGCGGGTGGCGAGGAGGCCGGTGGGGCGAGGCGAGAGAGGAGGAGGGCGTCGTCGGCCAACGACGCCACGGCGGCGGTGGCGACGACGCGGGATAAGGGGAGGGAGTCTCCGTGCGTGCGAGCTCGGGGTCGGAGAGGCCCGGGAGGCGGCAGAAGAAGGAGGGCATCGGTGTCGGCAGCGGTGGCGACGGTGATGCGGGAGAAGGGGAGGGTATCGCCATGCGGGCGAGCTCGAGGACGAAGACACCGGCGGCGGCGAGGTGAGCGATCTCCACGGCATCACGCCCGCCGTCGACGACCCCCACCTCCCCGTCGAATACCCACGCGAGCGCACACTCGTCTTCGATGACCCAGGCCTCGGCGAACCTAGACATGGCGGGCTCGCCGCCCACGACCCCCGCGCCATCACCAACAGGGCCCCGGGCACGGCTTGGACGCCGTTCGCGCATGGCCGCCGCACGCCCCCTTACCGCCGTTCCTGCCTCGCCGCCGCCTCCCGGGGCCCATCCTTAGCCACCGCGGAGCTCCTCCGGGTTGCCGTCGTGCTTGCGCGCGAGAGAGAGAAGAGAGAAGATAGAAGAAGGAAAGAAGAGCGTGGGATGCCATGGAGGTGGCCGAAGGCTGGGACCTCCTCGTCCGAGCCATGGCACGGCGGTGGATGGAGGGGAGAGGATGCAGCCGCGCGTGGCTTGTTAGAGCCTCGCCCTAGCGGTCGTGGGTCATTTCCTCTCCCGCCTCGCCCAGCCACCTCCTCCACCATTCTACCCAGCGATCTGGAGGAAGGAGAGAGGGGAAGTGCACTCGACTGGCTTCGGCTTGCCGCCGGTGGCTTCCTCCGCGCGCTCCTTTGAAGCTCGTTGCCGGCTCTTCCCCTCCTAGCTCGCTGCTGCTTTCCTCCGTAGCCGCCCCCTCCTCTATCAAAAGAGGAAGAAGAGATAAAAGTGAAAAATGTGGAAGAGGAAGATGACATGTGGGCCGCATATGAGCGTAGTCATTTTTTTTATTACTTTTTAGTGTAACTGACAGTGAGCCCCACTGTTTTTTTATAGTTTTTCAGAATCAAATTGCCACGTAAGCACCACGTCAATGCCACATCGGACGTCGACCTAGTAAAAGGAGGCACGTAGGTGCCACGTTAGCCAAAACCGGGGAGCAAGTAAAAGGAGGCACGTAACTAGAAAAAAACTTTCTAATACGAAATTTGGATAACTTTCGATCTATCCCAAATCACTTAATAGGGAAATATTTCCATACCTAACCTATTTCGCTCAGCCCATAAAGCCACATAGTCTGGTGCAGCTGTACAACTATGCTAAATAGCATCTCCGAATCTCTAATCTTGATAAGGCTTCAGGAGATAAGGCAAATTGAATGTAGCTCAACTGTTAAGAACCCTTGGTAGAGCTGCACATCCAGGTTCAAGTCCCAGAGTTGGAACGAGTGCTCATATTTATGGCTAATTTATTCTTTCAGTGGTAGGCGACGTACCCGGTGATAAAGAGTCGCCTGTTGCGACTTCGTCAATATAAGGATATACCGGTCTAGTCTTCGAATGTGCTCACTGGGTAGGATGTCTGTTCTTTTATATGAGCGCTTGTGTTTGTGCATTGTTTCAGAACATTGTTTCGGAAAAAAATTTTGCGAGTCCATACATATTCGAGAATCTTACAAAATTAAGGCTCTTTTTTATTGAAGTAATTTTGGAGAAAAGTAGAGGACTTTAATCAAGGAAATATTTCATGTGTCGTTTGGTTTGTAGGATTGTTTCAAAGTAAATATATAGGTTAGGAAAATTCTCTCAATATCTTGGAGAAATTCTAGCATGAGGACTAACATCATATTTTCAAATTCATTTGAAAAACTGCCAAAGCATTTTGTCTGTATTCTCTATCTGACAAATTCCCTCTGTTTTTGTTTATGATAAATCCAAACATATTTGAGTATTTCCTTATAGGATTCAACATGGTGTGACATCATAGTATTATGTTTTTTTTTCTATTATATATCTCAAGAATCCCGCATCCCAAACGAGTGTTAGGGTGTTTTCCTTAAGGCTGGAGAGGTGAGCTATTGCCTCGTTTTATGTCAGCATGCTTCCCGAACTGCTAAACAATACGTTTTGTGAGAAACTTTCTATATAAAAGGTTTTTTAAAAAACAAATTAATATTTCATATTTATAGCAGTTAATACTTAACTAATGAAGCACTAATTATCCCTCTTGTTTCGCGTGTGGCTGATTAGCTAACCTAAAATAGCTCAACCGAACTCAGCCTTAGGGCCTCTCTATTTCATTGAAAACCCATGAAAATTATACTAAAATTTCTTTAAATAAATAAAAAAATTATTAGAAATAGTTATAGACATGAAATACATTCATGCTAAATCTCAAATCCAAACTTAATTTCATTTGAGAGAGAAAAAAAAGAACAAAATACAAGTGAATAGTACATATTACTGTTGATCCAAAATGTGTTTTTTTTCTCCCAAATAATGTTAAGTATCGACTTGAGATGTGGTAAGAATATATTTCATATCTATACCTATCTCTAGTAAAAAAATTTCATAAATTTGTAAATTGCATATTGGTCCATGTTTTTTAACCATGGTTTCACATTGAACCACCATTAACTCAATACTTTCACTTTACACCAGATTTTATTACCAAAATGTATCACTTTGTACCAGTGGCCCACTTGTCAGTGTGGCTGAGGGAAAAAAAAGGGAACACCTCGGTTGGGAAGGCACCAGCGAGTCCGCTGACTCCTCTTCTACCACGCCGGCGATCTCTTCCCGACTTCCCCCAACTATCTCAAGCGACGCAAGCAAAGAGGAGCTCATGTCCAGGTACAGTAGAAGTCGAGTCGCGGAGGCGATAGCGATGGAGAGGAGCTTGAGCTCCGAGATGGCGCGCGGGCATCGACGAAGCCGTGGAGATTGAGGTTGAGCCAGGACGGTGGAGAGGAGCTTGAGCCCAAGTATGGCGTGTGAGTGCTACAAGAGATCGAGGTCGAGCGAGGTGCGACAACGGCGCGCGGAGAGGAGCTCTAGCTCAGGGACGACGTGCGGGCGTAGGTGAAGGACGAAGTCAAGCTAGCGAGGGGCGACGGCGGGCAGAGAAGAGCTCGAGCTTGAGGATGGCACGCTGGGGCGACGGAGCCGCATAGATCAAGCCGGGGTGGTGGAGAGGAGCTCGAGCTCAAGGGCAGCTTGTGGAGATTGAAATCAAGCACTACAAGCTTGAGATGCGACGGTGTCAGCCCTGTTATGCTTGAGCTCCGCCTTGGCACCGCATAAAGCTGTCGTGGTCTTTGTGGTCTAGAGCCATCGATGAAAATAGTTGGAGATGATCAGATAGGCTCTGAGAGACTGACTATGGGCCATATAGCCCAAAGTGAAACGTTTTGGTAATAAAATCAGGCCTAAAGTGAAAACATTATGTTAAGGATAGCCCAAAGTGAAACTATGGTAAAAAAAATATGGTCCAACATGTAATTTACTCTAACTTTTAAATCTGATTTTCGTAGGTTCACTTATTATATGGTTTTTACTGAATATGTCCATTTATGTAATACCAGACTTTGGCCTTACAAATTTTTTTGGTATTTGGTTTGAGTCCTTTTCAAATTTTGGTAAAAGTTTGGAGGGTAGAAAGTTTTGAAATCACCAATTTAGTAGGGTTGGTTTGATAATGATATGTTTAAAATGTTAAAATAGTTTTAAAGTAAACAAGCCACTAAATTTAATTTAACTATCTCTGACACACTTTCCTTCTCTCTAACACTATTCCTTCCGTAAAAATAAAACTCATGTTAGTGAGATGTGATTCATTCTAAGTTGCTATATTTTTTACGAAGGTATTATTAGAATGTAAACAGAGTATCTATGTTGGATTTTCTTTTTCGATGGAGGGAGTATGCGGTGAGCTCACCAAGTACGGAGTACTGGAGTAGTGGAGCCTACCCCATGCGGCCGTGCCTCGTGGAGCCCCACCCACCACTCAGCCCTGTGACGAGACGAGACAACGACGACGACGCGAATTGGGTCTTTTGTTTACTGCAGCGATTGCTCATCAAGGCGGCGGACCAGTCGACGACGACCCCGGCGGCCGGCGAGGATGGGTCCACAGATCGATGCCGACCGGGCACGAGACTGCCCCAACTCACGCCGCCCACCCCCGCCCGCCTGTTCGACGGAACGCCAAAGGCGGGGACGAGGGGGTCGCCCCCGCAGTCCACGCCCGCAAGGTGTTCGAACAAATGCCTTAGCGGGAGGAGCCGTTCCGGGCGCCGGTTTGCTCCGGCTCCGGGAGCTCGGCGCGTTTGTTTGCGGTCGTGGCAGTAACGACTAGTAGAGTAGTAGGAGCGAAGCAAGTGCTCCGCGGAAGCCCTGACCATTTCTCAGGCGCGTCGAGACTCGAGACGAGACGAGACGACCGTCGTTTTCTTTGGTTTCTTGGGTACTTCTTCTTTTTTTTTTTTTTTTTTTTTTTTTTTGCAGGTGATGTGAAAATAGTGTGGAAACCGTGTGGGAAGTCTAGAGATGTCAACGAGTCCGCAATTCTGCGTTAACTTAATCGCAGCCTACGGATTCCATTTCGCCACTGCAGTTACCCTGCTACTGCCTACGAGCTCCCAGGTACTTAATTTTGTTACTGGCATTGCTTTGCTTACCTGCGTGTTCCAAAGTCAATCATTGTCAGCAGCTAGCAGTGGCATCTGAGTGCAGAAGATACAATCCATCTCGTTGTCATATTAAAAGTCGGGAATCCCCACCACTACTATCTTTTAGTTGTTTGGATGTTCTAACTGCAAGGTGGCCATATTCCTTGTAAAATAACATGTACGCCGATTATGTCTGATTCGATTAGATGCATCTTTTCAACATATTGGCTGTTTCAGCTGCACTCGATTTCTTAGCGAGTTATTGAGCACGAGCTGGTAGTGTTATTTATGTGCGTGGTTATTGCAAGATGGCCCCGCCCTTTTTCTGCTGCTGTCCTTTGGTATGTTGACTTCACCAGGTCTTCTCCCCCTCTTTGTTTGCTCCTCCTTTGTATGTTCTCTCACTGTTTTTTTTTTAGGAAACATGTGCGTTCACACTGCCATTAGGGCTTCAACAACTGGACTATCCTTACAATTGCTTACCAGTTTGAGCAGCAGAGTCATCCATGTTCTGACTGCAAACATGCAATATCAGCTAGGAAATGAGCATATGGCCGATGGGGTTGGCCTCTCAATGTGATTATGTTAGCACAGAGTGCATTTCCATGTCAGGTATGGTCTTCCGTTCTTTTCCTGTTTGCTTACTTCTTTGGTTGATACGTCTGGATGCATCTCTCCGTTTCCCAAAATCTACAGCTTCTGGTTAATTTTACCAGTTAGCCACTTGTCCCTCAGAATCGTTGGTAACTCTTGCCGGCTACTAATTTTACATTGGGGAAATTGATGTGGTATGTCACCACTCTGGCACTCTGATATGCCATCGTCCCTGTTATGATTGATAGAATACCATCCATTAGAGATGATAGCTCTAGGATTTGCTAATTTAGCTTGAATTGACCTTCGTTCTCCTCCAAAGGTGTCTTCTCCCCTCAGCCACAGCCATGGCTGATCACGCAAGTGGATCCACCTTCCTCTCCAGGTGGACCACCATGGCAATGTAGCGCACATTCGTCCAGTGAACACCTTGCCTCCTTCTTCTTGCATGAAGCAGCATGATAGCATGTTCTTTTTGTTGTCCTCAACCTTGGGGCCGCATGAAGATTGCAGTAGCAGGTTGAGCATCACATCGAGGCCAGTGGAGGCCTTGTGGTGCCTATGCTTGATTTCTTTCTTGTTTGTTGACAAATGATACACTCGTTTGTTCTTTATTATTACAACTATTTGCAAGTTTAGTTCCACGATTTGCATGTTGCTTTTCATGCTGAAGAACAATTATATGCTTTCTTGTTAAGGTGCTGCTCTATTTTACTTCCTATCATTTAATATCCGTCCTTGTATTCTACTCTTGTCACTCGCTATCTTCTTTGTGGCATGCGGACCAACTAGAGTTGCTCCTGGACTGGTGGTAATGGTAAGGTGGAGGGAGTCAGGCACCATGGAGAAATTTAGAGTTCATAGAAGGCCATTGCAGTGGTAGGAGGGGTAAAGTGGGAAGAGAAAGATAATCTCAGCACAAAAAGAAAAGTTAAATGAAAAATATATCTATGGGAAATAAGATAACCATTTTTTTGTACCAAAGTCCAGATTCAGAGCTGTACTGCTATTTTTTGAACAAATTGTTTGTATAAGTTATATTTGCTTTTTAAAAAGTTTACGCTTATAGTATGCTCTCCATTTTATTACAGGAACCTATTATGCACTCATAATTGGATGGGAGCAAGTTCATACAACTCTATACACATAGAGCAAGTTAATACAACTCTATACACATAGAGCTAATAATTCATATGGCGGTTATCATTGTGGGGTCAAGCAAGCAAGCTATCTTCTATTGTATCTTATAAACGTATGTTCTATCCTTGTGGGGTCAATTAAGCAAGTCTCTTGTCTTTCTAGCAGTTCTCTTTGCCAATATTCTTATTCTGAATCATCCTTGAATTATCTTTTGACTCTTCCAGGTATATTATATCATCAAGGGAAGTCTTACCTACTGCTCCTCAGACTCGCAATCTCAGATATTGAGGAACCACATGGAAAATGGAAGGCAACCCAAGCTCACCATTGCTCTGACCAATACCACAGATGTCCTAATACCAGTCAATGGACAGAGTGAAGAAAACAACACCAATGGGGATAGGGCAGAGTATGGCATGGAAACTGGCAGCGACAGGCAAGACTCCATGAATGGTTTGTCCAGTAGGTTTTTATTGGCCAGTAGCCATGCACCCAGCATCACAGTTGATTTTGAGCTCTTGTGGAGACTGCGGAAGTACCTTGTAATGCTTGCAATCTTAGCAGTCAGTGTGACATATAATGCTGGATTAACCCCACCGGGTGGATTTCGGACAAAAAACACGACTAATGGACGTGATGCTGGTGAACCTCTCCTTCGTGTTTACTTCTTCCCACGGTATGAGGTATTCTTTTACTGCAATGCAACAGCCTTTGCTGCATCTCTTGTCTTAATCATATTGCTTCTAAGTAAGAGTGTGACGAGGCAGAATTTGTGGCTCCGTTCAATGCAATTTACCATGATATTAGACCTATTCAGCTTGATGGGAGCCTATGCTGCTGGAAGCTGCAGGGCAGTAAAGTCTTCCATTTATATATGGGTCCTAGTTGTTGCTGTTTTCATATATGTTGGAATTCACATTTTGTTATGCACAAGGATATTTCCAAAATGGTTGAAAGAGAGAGTACAAATGCTGCTACAGAAAATTCAAGCAAAGTGGGGTGTACATGAGGAGAACAGGAGCAACGATCAAAAAAGAAACATTGAGGAGGCTCGCAAGTTCATTTTGACACTTGCAACTTTTTCTGCAACTATCACTTACCAAGCAGGATTAAGTCCACCAGGTGGTTTTTGGACTGAAGGCAGCAGTCATCCAGCAACCCCTATTCTTCGGAGTAACTATCTTCTTCGGTATAATTTTTTCATGAGTTGCAATGCAACTTCATTTGTGGCATCTTTGGTCACAATCATGTTGCTTCTTAGCCCAGAATTGAGCATGCATGGAATAAGATCTAAAGCAGTTATTGTGTGTGTGGTAGCTGACCTATTGGGCCTGATAGGTGCGTATGCTGCAGGAAGCTGTAGAGATATAGCAGTTTCTTTCTATGTTATGTCTGTTTCCATCATAGTCTTGACCTGCTTTGTGGTTTTGGCTGGAATCTTGGTTTACAAACCTGTCGCAGATTGGCTACAAAAGATCAAACCAGACACTCTGACATGCATTGGTACAATTGGCCGGGTTTTTTCATTGGATTTTAAGAGAAACAGATCAATTGATAGAGAACAAGAAAATTCTCAAGCAAATCATCTGCAAACGGAGCTTGAACCAGATGCACAAGTAAAAGAAAATGCTCTGCAAAGTACAGATATTGAAGAGGGAGAGTCACATGCGAAGAATCAGCCTTCTGGCGAATGTCAATCTGCAAATTCCGAGGAGGCTGAGCCTGACTCTGACCATCCATCGGCCGGTTATCAGCAATCTATGTGTAGCACAGATGTTGTGTACAACCTGCAGGGTCAGTCTATAGACGACCAAGCCCAACCAACCGCAGAGGAATCTATATCCAACACACAGCACCCATCTGAAAAAAGTCAACATGCTACAAACTATAAGGACGGTATGCATCAATCTGCAGACAATCAGCAAGATGCAAATACAAAGGAAAATTCTTCATCAATCGATGATTTCAAGACACTTAAGGATGGTATTTCTGACCCTGAGCCTCAATCTGCAGATAGCCATCAAGTTACAGATATGAAGGAACAATCCACAATGACTAACGACTTAAAGACTACAGATACTGAAGGCAGTATGCCTGACCCTGACAATCGATCTACAGACAGCCAGCATGTTATAAATAAAATGGAACAATCTTCGTCGACTGATGAACCTGGGACTGTTGTTACACCAGAAGAGAAAGTATCTCCTAATGTGCCTGTGGGACATAGTGAGATTGAAATTGCTGAAGATAATAAAATTGCTCCACATGTTGAGAATGGCTATATTGACAAGAATGAAAGATCTCCCAATGAAGATGGCAATAGAAATCAAACTGCTAAGCATCTGAAGAAGTGCCGCACATATCTACTCCTCCTTGCGATTCTTGCAGTATCTCTGACATACCAATCAGGTCTGAATCCACCAGGCGGCTTCTGGACAAGACACGAGGATTATCATTCATCTGGTGATCACATCCTTGAGGACACTCACCACCCTCGCTATATTGCATTCTTCTATCTAAATGCAATTGCCTTTGTTGCATCCGTTGTCATGATCATTATGCTCCTGAACAGAAGAATGGCCAACAAGGTTATAAAACGGCGTGCACTGCAGATAGCAATGATAGTGATCCTCCTGTCCTTAACAGGGGCTTATGTTATGGGAAGCTGTAGGAAGACAAAGAATTCAGTTTATATCTCAGTGATGGTACTCCTCGTGCTTGCTTATGTTGGTATTCATGTTTTGATAGCAATTCATGTAATCCCAGAAGGTTGGAAAAGGCAGGTGGCAGAAAAGCTAAACCGCCTCTCGTGCAGACATTTGTGGTCGCCTCTCCATGGCAGCAACCAGACAGGGCATGGCAATGAGAAGGATTGGGAGCGAAGGCGCAATCTACTATTGATTCTTTCTATTCTCGCTGCGACTGTCACATACCAAGCTGGCATGAACCCTCCAGGAAGTGTATGGTCTGATGACAAGGATATCAACCGCACCCTTACAGGCAACCCAGTCCTTCAGGAGAACAATTTAAGACGCTATAATGTGTTCTACTACTCAAATTCAGTCTCATTCGTGTCATCTGTTGTCATCACAATACTACTCGTGAACAAGGGATCCTGTGAGCATGGTATGAAGTTCTATGCATTGCGAGTGTGTTTGGCAGCAGGATTGGTTGGCCTCTTGATTGCTTATGCTGCAGGAAGCTGCAGGAAAGCAAAACAATCTATTTATCTCATCATCGTTGCTGTTGCAGTTCTGATCTCCCTTATGATTCAAGTCTTCATTATGTCTTCAACATATGATAAACTAGGAAAGCCATTGTGCAAGTGTATGGAAAGTTTGCTTGAGTGGATTTTTCAGACTAAGGAGGTTAGGCAAGATATTGGTTCTGAGATCCAAGGAAGTCCAGATCCTGGTGACAAAAGTGAAAGAAAAAGACACAAGTATCTGATGTTGCTTTCAATTTTGGCGGCCTCCATCACATACCAAGCTGGTCTGAACCCACCTGGTGGCTTCTGGTCGGATGACAGTTCAGATCCCCCAAAACACAAGGCTGGCGACCCAGTCCTTCATAATATTCATCCCCATCGCTACAAAGCATTCTTCTGCTTCAATGCATTCTCCTTCATGTCATCCATTGTTGTGATCATGCTTCTGCTGAGCAAATCTGTCAGGGAGAAGAATGTACCACTTGGGGTATTGCACTTGATCATGATACTAGATTTGCTGGCTCTCATGACGGCTTTCGCTGCGGGAAGCTGCAGGAAATTCAGGACCTCAGTTTATGTCTATGGTCTAGTAATCGGTGTCACAATATACCTTCTGTTGGTGACCATTTTAGCAAGTAGCATCGCGAAATGTCTGAGATCAAGGAAGATAAGTAAGAATTCCTATGAGAAGCATCATGAACATCCTTCAAGAGTAAACACACTGCCACTTAAACAACAAGTTTGAAGGTTTAGTATTCACAGATTACCATCGAGTGGAAATCTGCTTTTGTTTTGCCAGCATGTGGTGGGTGGTTTCAGTTGATAGGATTTGTTCTAGCGTATTTGATCAGTGTTGATATTTCGAATGAAGCCTGAAGCTGCACATGTATTAATTTCCAATTATTTTCATGCATCAGACATTGTCACTTAATAACTACAAGCAGGCCACAAATATTGTTCCCATTATTTTTGTCGTTGCATACTTGCATATGACTGCCACTTTTGTCTATTGGAATAGTTACATGTCAGGATTTTTTTTTTCCGATGCAGAGTTTTATCTTTGCCATAGTGCCATATAAGTTCAGGTATAGCTTGCTTTATTTTTCGAGCATTCATGTTCCTTTCTCGAGTGAGCTATTAGTACTTTGTGGCATGATCACGATCTAATCATATTGGGTCCGTTTCTCAAAATGCTTCATCCGTGTATTTCTAATGTTGATTTGTTACACACTAGTTTCTAATATATTTTTAAAAATATTTCAATGACTATTTTGTTTTTTTTCATAAGGTACAGTTTGATGTTTGATTGATGGTTATGATATAAGAACTTGGAGCCTGTTTAGCACAACTCTAACTCAAACAGTTTCAGTTCAGTTCCGCTCAAAACGGGAGTGGAGAAGGCTGAAGTTCTTTCACAAAATGAACTTGAGAGTTGGAGTTGGGTTTAGGCTGCTTCATATCTTCGGTCTTCACTTCAAACCCAACTCTTAGAGTTAAATTTAGGAATTATAAATCTACCAAACATGTCCAAGTATTTGGATTCGTATTCTTAGGCAATGTCTAATTCCCTACTATTTAGATTTGTATTCCTAAGTAATGTCTAATTCAGTACTCTTATGTTTCCACTGAATGAAGTAGTTTTTACCCAACCTTTTTTCTCTCTTTCTTTTCCTATATTTTTTATTAGAGCTTATAAGCTGCTGCCAAATTTTGAATTCTAGAACTTGATTTTAAAGGTTTTGTATTGAAGTTTATTTTCAGTATTGGTTTTTAAATTGCTAACACATGTATACAAAATTTATCCGTAAATTATCTTTTATAAGCTATATAGCTTATTATAATCGGCATTGTGTCAATCGATGGCAGCCGAGAGAGCACTATATCGTGGCGTGTACTCCTTCATGTCCAAAATAAATGGATTCGTCAAATCCCATGAAAATTTTACTAAGATAGAAAATAACTGAAATTCTCTTATCGATAAAAAAAAAGTATGGGTAGGTTTGTAAGAAGTATTAAAGCGATGACATTGCTCAATTTACAAACTGAATGGTAGAAGATAAAAAAAAATTATTTTAATATCTCTACTATTATAAAAATTAAAGATGTTTTTACCGGTATTTTGATACGTCATCCGTATTCGAGTCGATTTTTTAATTCGTTAGCTTTTGGAAATATAAATCCGTGTTTGAGTCGTATAAGAAAATTTCTTTGAAAAACATGCTAACTTGATATTAAAGTCGGACTCCAGCTAACGATTTTCCAAAAAAAAAATTCAAGCGAATTCCCACAGTTAATTTCACCCTAGCTAAATCGTATAACAATAATAATAAGCCTAAAATAGCATTTAACCATTGCAACGCACGGACATCATTCCAGTAAATTTAAAAATATAGGAATCAACTTAATATAACTGAGGGAGTAATATATTCTAAGCTCGTCAAGTAGCTCAGTTATTTATCTTATCTTTGCTACTACTAGTGGTGGCACACCCATCACCAACTATTTTTTGGACTTTTTTATAAAGTAGTCCCCAATATTTTTTGATATTATATAATAATCTAATATTTATTCAAATCAAGCGAAAACTATAAGCAAACAAGTAATATTAGATTATTTTATCTATATCATATACTATATTTTCTTTTATCCATAGTAAAACATGGACTGTCACACCCCGATCTGGCACCGCCGTACAACGGCACCTGATAGGAGCGTGTCGTAGGAAAAACGGCGCGAACCGCTTCCTACGAAACCGCGATCTCAGTACCAGTCCCAGGACATAGCGCTGGTACCCACGGTGACAAATATGAATCATTGCAAACCGTAAAATAAATAGAGGACTTATTTACCTTATCTTAGGTTGCAGCTCAGAATAGCCTGAGAAATGCAACCGACGACGCAGATGAGGAAACACCAACTATAGCAACAGCAGCGGAACCAACGGACTAACACCCAACACCACAGGCGACGGCTGGAAACCAGAACGAAACCCTAATCTTCACTTTACTTCATCTTCAACTTCAGGGCGGAGGAACTATATATATTTATATAGAGCAAGGGTGAGTACTTTCGTACTTAGCAAGTCACGGGAACTTAGGTGTTTAATGCAAGCTTGGAAGAGAGGCAAGGTTGTTTTGCAAATCCTTTGTTTGAAATCATTTTGAAATCACTAAGTGATTTACTTCTTGTTAAGTTTGGGCTGAAAAGAGACTTGCGTCTCAAATCGACTTAAGAGATGCTTTTCAACAACTCAATTGGTAATGTACCGACCTCCTGGGTCAGATCATTACTTCTCGGCTCCCAGAGCCATTTCACTTGATTAATCGGCTCCCAGAGCTTTTTTTTATTTTCTCGGACTCCCAGAGTCCAGCTGCCCAGCAGCACAACAATCCGCTTCCACTCGGGAAGCCTAGTCTATGATGCCCGAAGACATCCCGAATCACACAGATTCGTTTCTGACCACTCAGGTCATTCATCTGCCACATAGGCTAATTCTGGTTACGACTCCCACACCACAACAAATTTTCACAAAGCACAGTCAAACAAATCTACGCAACGGGAACCACCTCACATCCGCCCATGACCGTGGGCACGGCTGTTCGAACAGTTAGTTAACCTCTGCAGAGGGGTACACTTTACCCACAAGATACGAACTTATTCCGAACACTCGTCGATATCGGAGGTTCGCAACAAAGCCTTTCCCAAGCCGACCCAGGGTTACCTCATGCCACATAGAAGGATCAAATCCTTCACATAAATATAGGCCATTTTAGTTTTCACAAATCAAACTCCAACCACCTCGATCGGTAATCTGGCAAGCTTCGCGTTCTTGCCTTACCACGAACCCAGGTTGGCTCCAACCGACCCCGCCCCGGCGTTCCCCAACTATTGGCATGCGAGGTTTCCCTGAACCGACTAGTTACTTAGCCAGGGTGTCCCATTCGACCTTGTGGTTGCACTTTGTTATGCTTGATGAATTTCCCACAGGAATCGGTCCTTATATGCGAATACGGGACCGTGCCTCGCAGGCATAATCCCCGCATCGCAAGTTTTCACAAACTATTTTATTTTCAAACACTCCGACACCACATGTCGGGTTTTCAAGGCTTCTCAAACCCATTTCCCAAATTTTCGACAATCAACGGTGTATGTGGGATATTTGGTATACGCGCTCAGATAACACGGATACCGAGGCACCACAAGGGTGGAGCGACAAGGAAACAGGGTAGTATAGCCTACAGGAATTAGTGCGACTATTGGGTAGGTCCGTCGGTTTTGGCACGCAAACCGAGGCCAGCAAGTTAAGTGTGTGATTCTAATAATGCAAGTTGCAAACAAAGTAATAATGATTTTCCAATTATAGGAGCAATTGGTCAAAGGGTGACTTGCCTTGCTCAAGGTCTTCATGAAGCTTCACAAATCTTCGAGAAATCCACAATTGACGAAAATACGATAACCGCAACTATACGCAAACAATTGAAAACCTAGACAAAAGACCAAAATAAAGATCCTATTTAGACTAAATAATAGTGCCATTAGATAGATCTCAATTTTACGGGATTATTGGAAGTGGAACGGAGTCCATCGGAGTTACGGATTGAGAGATATGAATTTTGGAAGTTTAATTGGATTTTCTGGAAAACGAGAAATGGTTTATGGAATTTATAGAAATAATATTCTCAAGAATATTATTGATAGTCACTGACGTGCGGGACCAAGGGAAATGATCTATGGATTATTTTAGAATAAGAAATTGATTTATGGAACAAGGGAAAAGGAATTATTAAATCCTTTGGAAAAGAAAATCAAGGGGGATGAGATTAGACTTCCTTGGGCAGCTCAGGGCGCGCCCCGATGGCTTGCGCGGCTCAGCCGGGCCGTATTGGGCCGGGCGAGTGCGGGAGTCAGCCCATCAGGGCACGGGAGAGAGGCGGGGCGGGTCCGGTGGACCGATTGCACCGTGCGGGGTCCCGGGTGGGGCCCGCTTATCGGTGACACGGCCCACGGTGGGATGGGCGCACGCGAGGGCGGCACTAGGGTTCGGGGGGGAGCGGTCCACGCGCGGCGCGCGGGTGGACGCGGTGTGCGGCGGGCCCACACGCAGCCTCTCGGCTCTCCGTGGACCGCGCGCGCGAGCGAGGGATGGAGGGAGCGGCTGACCGGGGTCAGCTTGACCCAGTCCGGCCGAGCTGGCGCCGACGTGGCACCTTCATGGCAGCCACGTGGCCCGGCTGGAGGAGGAAGAAGCACAGGAGGCCGAGATGGACGGCGGACGGCGGCCGAGTTCACTGGAGCTCGCCGCGACGATTCGAGAGGGAGGGAGTACACCGGAACGATGGGATGGACGAGAGGGAGTGAGACAACGGCTCGGATGTGCCGGAAGACGGCCGGTGACGGCGAATCGCGGCGGCGGAAGCCGGCAGCGAGGAAAGGGGGAAACGGCGACGAGAGCACGAGGGCACGATTCCTAGGGACTTGAGCATCTACGCGACCTCCAGAGTTCATTTCTAGAGTCGGATTGGGCGGAGCTACACCGAGGGAGGCCGGCAACGAGCGGCTGCTACCGAGTTTGGGCGGCGACGACGGCGAGCCCTCGGCGAGCGGCGGCGGCGGCGGGGCGGCGCCAGCTAGCTACTGGAAGGCTACTCGCACTACTGCCTAGAGCTAAGGGGAGGAGAGGGAGCGAGGAGGGAGAACGGAGAGTGTGCACTACCGAGCCGAGACGGGCACTGTGACGAGCAACCGACAGCACGGGAGCGAGCTCTCCGGCCTCGGGCCGGGGAAGGGGAAGAAGAGGGGTGTCCGTAGTCCTCGTCTCGCGTCCTCGCACGCACCGGTCTCCCTGGTGCTTCGGCGACGGACGGCGAGGGCAACTGCACGGCAAGGGCGGCAACAATGGCGCGGCAGCAGTGGAGACTGAAGCGGGAGGGATTGAGAGGAGGGACTCGGCTTTATAGTGGAGGCGAGGTCGGTTCGCGCGGGGGGTCGGTTCAAACCGACCTTGGGGCGGTCAAGGGGGAGCTGGCGGTCTCGGGCGCAAGCGGCTAGGCGGTGGCAGAGGGATGGCGGTGTCGGGCAAAAGTGGAAAAGGGGAGGAAAAAGGAGCGCGGTTCCTTGCTGATTTGAGCAAGCAGAGGGAGGAGGAAAACGCTCGTGAGGGGGAGAGAGGCGCTGCCTCTGCGTCTTGGACGCGAGCGCACAGAGGTGGGGGCGAGCGGCAGGGCGGCATGGGCGGCTGCGCGGCGTAGGCGGCCAGGGCTGACGCGGCGGCTACCGGGCGGTCGGCCACGCGCGAGTGCGCGCACGCGAACGCAGGGCGCAGCCGGATTTCGAACGGCGGCGGCGGGAAATCGGCGCGGGGGAGAGGGAGCTCGACGAGGGAGAGAGAGAGAGAAACAGAGAGAGCGAGCGGCGGCTCTCTCTCGGCTCGCATGCGTGCAACGCACGTGCGAGGGGGGGAGATGATGGGCTGGGAGGGGAGATGGGCCGGGGGAGGAAAACCGGTCCATCCAAAAATACAGGGAGGTAAAGTAGACTTTATCAGGAGAGAGATTTGGATAGAATTTGAATTTGGAATTTGACTTGGACTTCGGGATTTGGGATTTGGATGAGAGGGAGGAGTCGACGAAGGGATTCAAAATGGGGATTTGGTATTATCGGAGCCGAGGGAAATATTTGGAAATGAGTCCGAAGGGAGATATTGAATTTTGGAATGTAGATTTTGGAAGGTTGAAATTGGAATAGGAGTTTCGACAAGGTTGACTTTTGATGTCGAGGATTGGGAATAAGGGGATTTGAATAGAGATCAATGGCACGACTTAGACTCGCACACAAAGAACAAAATTTTTGCGAATAGGGTTTTACCGAAATAGTTTTTAACGTTTCGCGAAAAGCGGAGCGTTACATGGACATTTTGCTAGTTCATCCAAAAGATTCAAAAAGGAAAAGAAAAGAAAAGATCCAGCCAAATGCTTGGAGCCGTGAGGTCAGGCAACATGGCCACACACCCACTACTCAGCTAGATATTTAACTATTTGCTACTTTTAGATGTAGCAATTAACTATTTGTTATTGAACTTGCATGTAATAGATAGATGAGAATCCACATGCCATAAACACTAAATCTATAAGTGATAAATAGTTAAGCGTTAAATCTAAAAGTGATAAATAGTTAAACGTTAAATCTAAAATTGATAAATACTACCCCCGTCCTAGAAAGACAACAATTTTACACTGTTTATGTCCAACGTTTGATTATTCGTCTTATTTCAAAAAAAAAATTATGGTTAGTATTTTATTGTTATTAGATGATAAAATATGAAAAGTAAATTTCAGAAAACTGCAACTTTAGTGACAAAACTATCAGTTTGCTGCAACATTAGCGGCATGTTTCAGTTTGCTGCAAAAATAGCGTGGGAAATTATCACAAAACTGCAACTTTTACGTTATATGCTGCTACAGTTGTCAACTATATGTACTGTAGCAGCATATAACGTAAAAGTTGCAGTTTTGTGATAATTTCCCACGCTATTGTTGCAGCAAACTGATAGTTTTGTCACTAAAGTTGCAGTTTTCTGAAATTTACTCTAACTATGAATAATACTTTATGTTTGACAATCTTGTTAAAATTTGTTCATAAATTTTTCAAATAAGATGGACGGCCAAACGTTGGACACGAAAAACCACAACTGCACTTATGATCGAATTGTTTGCCTTATTCGTGGAATAAGTTAAACGACATATTTATAAACGAAAAGTAATTTGTAAATAAAACTTTTATATATGTGTAGCAATATAAAAACAAAGGCTAAAAAATAAACTTCGATGAAAAAACCTCACAATCAGCTTTAAATTTAAGGTTTGAAATTAAAATTTTGGCCGGTAAGTATGAAATGAGGCTGTTGAAATGGAACGAAGGTTAAATGCCACCTGGGCCATCGCCAGGCCACTCAGCCAGTGAGGACGACGACTCGGATGCCCCATCGCTCCACATTCACAGGGCGGTCGGCCGGCGATGGCGGCCGGCGAGGCGAGGAGAGATCCGAGTCGGTGGCCCAAGGCTGACCCAAGCTGACGGGACCAAACGCGAAACCCCTCCTGCTCGTCTGCTGTTCGACGGAATGCCGCACCGACCCACCGTCCAAGCTCCCGCTTCCTGCGCCCATCAAGTGTTCGAATCAATGCCTAAGCGCAGGGGGTGGGCATACCGGGACACCGGCCGCTCCAGCCCCGGAGCTCGACGAGTTTGCGAGCGCAGAGGCCGTAGGAGAGCGAGGCAAAGTGCTCCGTGGAGGTCTTGACCATGTCCAGGCGCGTCGAGACGAGACGAGACGACCGGCGTTTCTTGCAGATGGTCTGAACTTATGTCGCAGTGTGAAAGCCGTGTGCGCCTCTTGTCCAGACGACCTCGATGTCAACGCAGTCTCGCTTATGAGTTAGAGCAGGTACAATAGCAGGCTATTAGCTGGCTATAAACATATTTTAGTGAGATAAAGGTGAGAGAGAAGAGAAGCGGGCTACAGATCTGTAGCCAGCTGCAGCACGGGCTTCAAGACGCAGTGTATATATGATAGGTGGGACCATATATTAATAGTATAGTAAACAACTATTGTATGAATTGGCTATTAGATTGGCTATAGATGAATTGGAGCTTAGTGGGATATACTATTAAACTTGCTCTTAGTACTACCTCCGTCCCAAAATAAGTGCAGTTTTGCACTATTCACGTTCAACGTTTGTCCGTCCGTCTTATTTGAAAAATTTATGAAAAAATTAAAAATATTTAGTCACACATAAAGTACTATTCATGTTTTATCATCTAATTGCAATAAAAATACTAATCATAAAAAAATTTCAAATAAGACGGACGGTCAAACGTTGAACGTGGTAGTGCAAAACTGCACTTATTTTGGGACGGAGGGAGTATGAAGTTACCCTGCATCGTCTCCCAGGTACTTAATTTACTGACTTAACTTTGCTTACCTGTGTGTTCCTGTTCCAAAAACCGATTATTGCAGCAGCTAAAAAATGTCATCTTTGTGCAGAAAATAGAACCAGTTATTGCCAGCAGCTAACAGTTGCATCCTTGTGCAGAAAATACAATCCATCTGGGTGTCATATTAAAAGTCGGAATGCGTACCTCATGTATAAATATTCCGTTCCTTTAGGAGTTTAGGTGTTCTGATGTTCAAAGTGACCCTTTTCAATACCCATGTTCAAAGATTCGGTTAGGTGCATCTTTTATTAGTAACATATTGGCTGTTTCAGTTGCACTCGATTTCTAGTGAGCACGAGCTGATAGTGTTATACTGTTATTATATGCGTGGTTATTGCAAGATGGCCCCTCCATTTGCTGTGGTGCTGTCCTTTCGGACATTGACTACTTCACCAGGTCTTTCTCTTCCTCCTCGGTCTTTGTCCTATACTTATATTTATGCCCTATACTTATATCACACTGTCAGCTAGGCTTGAGTGGCTGAGCTTTTGAATATTGCAAGTCCAATCACTTGTTTGAGCAGCCATCCATCAGTCTAGTTCTAACCCCAAACATGCAACCTCGCATAGAGAAAAGACCATATGGCCGATGAGGGCAGCCTCTCCACCTGAATTTTGGAGCATTTCAATCCCTTTCCATGCCAGGTAGGAGCATCTTCTCTTCCTGGTAATTCTTTCTTGATGGACCTACTCTGTCGTGTATGGCTTCCAGTTAATGTTATCAGTTACTCTGCAGGATTTGCTTATATATTTTCGCGGCAATAAAAGTCAAATCCAGGGATTGAATTGGTATCTTCTTCCTAGCATCCTTTGCCGTTGTTTTTGTTCTGCAACCAGAAAATCCAGAAACATCAGTGAATAATCTTTCAATCTTCCAGATTTCTTACTTGTTGCTGCTGTGAATGAGAGGATAAAGAACAGCTGAGACCTGCAACCCATGTCCAGTAGCATCGAGATGGCAAATGGCACGAGCCAAGACGATAACATTGAGGGTAATTTTAAGCTATTGTGGAGTTTACGGAAGTATTTGATACTGCTTGGAACCATAGCAGTCGGTGTGACATACAATGCTGGATTAACACCACCAGGGGGATTTTGGACACTAAATAAGGATAAGCACCAGGCTGGTAATCCTGTTCTTCCTGTTGGTTACTTTCAACGGTATGAGGTATTCTTTTACTGCAATGCAACGGCCTTTGCTGCATCTCTTGTCTTAATCATCTTGCTTCTAAGTAAGAGTGCAACCAAGCATGTGTTGTGGCTCCGGTCAATGCAATTTACCATGATACTGGACCTATTCAGCCTGATGGGGGCTTATGCTGCAGGAAGCTGCAGGGCACTTAAGTCATCCATTTATACCTGGATTCTAGTTTTTGCTGTTTTCTTGTATGTTGGGGTACATGTCCTAGTATTCATGAGGGTTATTCCAGATAAGTTGAAAGAGATGATACAGAAATTATGGGGTGTCCACGACAGGCAAAGTGACAGACATCAAGACAAAGATGTTGAGGATGCTCGCAAGTTCATCTTGATTCTTGTAACATTTACTGCTACTGTCACATACCAAGCAGGTTTGAGTCCACCAGGTGGCTTTTGGGCTGAAAATGAGTATGATCCGCTTAGTAAGGTGCCTCCAGCCTTTCCTCCTTACAAGCACCAGCCAGCTACTTCTGTTCTTCGCAGTAACTATCTTGACCGTTATAAATTATTTGTTAGTTGTAATTCAACTTCTTTTGTAGCTTCTTTGGTCACAGTCATATTGCTTCTGAGCACAGAATTGAGCAAACATGGGATAAGGTCCAAAGCAGTCATTGTATGTGTTGTAGCTGATCTATTGTGCCTAGTTGGTGCCTATGCTGCAGGATGTTGTAGGGATGTAGCAACATCATTCTACGTAATGTTTATTATCATGATAGTTTTAATCTGCCTTGCACTGTTGGTTGGGATCTTTGCATACAAACCTGTTGCAATCTGGCTACAGAATTTCAAAAAAGTGAGTCTGCGGTGTGTGAGTGCAACGGGTTGGATGCTCTCATCGAGCTCCAGGAGAAACGGATTCAGTAATGGAGATCATAACCATGACACTGAGATTGTTGGCACCAATGATGATACTGAACCTGTTGCTAATGGCCATATTCACAGCAACCAAGCAGCACCAATTCAAAATGTTAATGGCAATCAAATTGAGGAGCACTTGAATAAGACCCGCAAAAATCTGCTGCTTCTTGCCATTCTTGCAGTATCCCTAACATATCAATCAGGTCTGAATCCACCAGGTGGCTTCTGGTCAGGAAATGAATTCCGTCATGCAGACGGTGATCACATCCTTGAAGAATACCATCATTCAGCTGGTGATCGCATTCTTGAGGACACATACCATTCCCGCTTTATTGCATTCTTTTATCTCAACGCAGTGGCCTTTGTGGCATCTGTTGTTATGATCATTTTGCTCTTGAACAAGGTGATGATCATGAAGGTTACAAAACAGTGTACATTGCAGATAGTCATGATTGTGAATCTCCTTTCCCTGACTGGAGCATTTGTTATGGGGAGCTGCAGGGAAGCAAATAAGTCCATTTATATATCAGTGTTACTCTGTCTGGTACTTGCCTACGTTCTTGTTCATGTTCTAATAGCAATACATGTTCTATGTGGAATGGCATCGCCGGCATCATCTGTGTCACCGCAGAACCGAACAGAGGATACTAAGGAGTTGGGGAGGAGGCGTAATCTACTATTGACACTTTCAGTTCTAGCTGCAACTGTCACATACCAAGCTGGCATGAATCCTCCAGGAGGTGTATGGTCTGATGACAAGGATGTCAGTGGCAAGCCAGGCAATCCGATCCTCCAGGACACCCACCCAAAACGCTATGATGTGTTCTATTACTCAAATTCACTATCCTTTGTGTCTTCTGTAGTTACCACAATACTACTTGTGAACAAGGAATCCTGTGAGCATGGGATAAAATCACATGCATTGCGAGTGTGTTTGGTGGTGGGCTTGGTTGGCCTCTTAATCGCCTATGCTGCTGGAAGTTGCAGGAAAGCAATACAGTCTATTTATCTGATCATCATTGCTGTTGCAGTTTTGATCTCCGTTGTGATTCAAGTCTTTCTACTCTCTTCAACAAATAGTAATACACTGCAGACGTTTTTGTCAATACGGGATGTCAATCAAGACAGTTCTTCTGGGCCGCAAGAAAGTACAGATCCTCAAGAGAAAAAAGAGAGGAAAAGGAAAAAGTATCTGATGCTGCTTGCAGTTTTAGCAGCTTCCATAGCATACCAAGCTGGTCTGAATCCACCTGGTGGCTTTTGGCCGGATGACGGTGGCCACAAGGCTGGCAATCCAATTCTTCATGATGTGAATCATAGGCGCTACAAAACATTCTTCTGCTTCAACGCATTCTCCTTCATGTCATCAATTGTTGTGATCATGCTTCTGCTGAGTAGAACTATCAGAGAGAAGGATGTACATATTGATGTATTGTACTTGATCATGATACTTGATTTACTGGGTCTCATGACAGCTTTTGCTGCAGGAAGCTGCAGAAGATTCAGGACATCAGTCTATGTCTATGGGCTAGTAATCTGTGTTGTGGTATACCTTTTGCTTGTGACCGTTTTATCAAGTGGAATTGCAAAATATCTGAGATCGAGGAAGGTTCAAATTCCTTCTCAGGACCATCCTGAAAATGCTTCAAGAGCAGACACACCCAATGCCTGAACATCAAGTTTGAAGGTTTTTGTGTTCACAGAACAACAATGAGTTGAAAATCACCTTTTGTTTTTTCTTCAGATAGTGGGCATTTTCAGTTCTTAGCATTTGTTCTTTCATGTTCAGTTTAACTTGAAATCTTTTTCTCTTTCAGCTTATGGGGGAAGCCTTCGCCCCAACTCAACAGCTTTTTGTTGTTGTAAACAAAATCTTTGTACTGTTCTTTTTTCCCCAATCTTAATGGAATTTGGTCGCCAGTTCCTTCGGCCGACCCGGCAAAAAAGTATCAGCGGATGCTATTTGACATATTTGATCAGGGTTGAAAATTTTAGAATGAAGCCTGAAGCTGCACATCACCACATGTATGGCTTGCTTAAATCTCTTGCATTTCTTCTCAATTGAGCTACAAGTATCTGGTACTCTGTGGTTCGATCTTGCAGAAAGTTGTATAATTGTGCCATAGAAGTTTGGTATGGTTATCAGACTGATCTTTCAGCAAGTATCTGTAATGTAAGAAGTGTTTATTATGATTTTCTGTTATCCGTCCTTTGTTTTACTACAGCTAAACTGCTTAAAATGTTGGTAGTCTCAGGTTTTGCGATTATTATAACTCTGAAAGTTAGCTCTTTCTTTTTATTCTGCTTTCTCTTGAATTTTTCTGTTATGATGAAGTACCAACCACACATGGGTGAGATATTAATGTTATGGAATTAGTTATTTGATTGGCTTACATATGCGTGCTTTATGGATATTTTGGTGCTTGTGACTATATAGTACATCAGTATCACCAAGACAGCAATTTTGATTTATCCCTGTTGCTTTGTGCAAAAAATATTGCCTATATAAACATTTGGTAAACGATAGCCTACTAGTGTATTGTGTGTTTTGCAGAATTAATATATCGAGTCTTGTGTGGAGATTTTTATGTATTGTGTGCTTTCCAGTTGAAAGCTCTTTTAGTTTGTTAGTAATCCTTTCGGATAGCATCATTTCGAACACAGGAGTTCTATTGGATTTTTATCAGAATTAGTTTAATTACTTAAATGGGAAATTGAGAATGTTGTTGGGTTGAAACAGCTTTTTACCGTTCAGATCTTGTGTTTTTCTTTAAGCAAAATGTAGGGCTAGTTTTTCAGGTACAACTGAATATAATCGATAAATTTCTTTCAAAAAAATAAATTATTAAATGTATTTTTTAACCTTGTGCAGTTGGAGCCCGGGGAATCACCATCTCTCTCTCGCTTCACCTGTTGTTGTTGTTGTGTTGTGTTCTTCCCCCTCTCCTCTTGGAAGAGTGGGGGTTTAAATGCAGTAGGCTGGCTGGCTGGCTGGCTTGGCAGGCAGTGACTCGGTTTCTCTCTCCTCTCTCTCTCTCGTGGCTGTTTTGCACGATGGATGGAGGAGGCGAGAGGATTTTCACAGCAGATTTCACGAGAGAAACGCAAGCAGCAGGCAGAGCGAGCTGGGCGGCTGGGCCGTTTTATGAAGTGGCGTGTCCCGCAGTAGTAGCAACCAGCGGGCAGCAGGCGCCTGGCTGGCTGGCGGTCCAAGCTGCCAGTGGTAGGGGTGGGCATTCGGTTCAGACTGAAAATTCAGTCTCGGTCTTCGGTTTTTCGGTTATTTCGGTCTTTTGAAAACCTAGGACTGAATTTCATCTAAAAAACTCAGGACCGGCAAATTCAGTTTCAGTCTTGGTCTGACCGAAATTTTTTAGGAGTAAGTTTGGAATGAAATTTTTACAACACTTCCCCTCTTTTGAGATATTTTTTCATAGATATATATCACAAAAATACAACCAAATGCACTGGATTCAAATCAGAGCCACAACCAAATATAACCAAATCGTCGAGGTCACAAAAATACTTGCGCTGGAGATGGCGTCGAGGCGGAGGCAGGCTGGCTGGAGGCAGCGCCGAGGTGGAGGTGGCGGCCACGGCGCGGTGGAGGACAGAGGCGGTGCTGGTGCGGTGGAGGGCGGAGGCGGCGCCGGCGCAGGCGCAGTGGAGGGCGGAGGCGGTGGCCGCGGCGCGGTGGAGAACGGAGGCGGCGTCGACGCGAAGGGAGAGGCGGCGCCGGCGCGGTGGGGAGGCGGAGGCCGAGAGAGAGACGATGGGGATGCGGTGCGATGAGAGTGCAGGCGTGCGGCAGTGGTAGCTGACCGGTAGGGTTGTATCACTTCTAGAGTTAGTACTAATGGGCTTATTAGGCATCCTAGACCTACTGAGCCCAATAATCGAAATGGCCAAAATAAATTCAGTCTTTCGATTGCTGGGACCGAACAGTTAACTGAATTTCTTGGTCTCGGTCTTTTCAGATCGGTCTAAATCTGCCCACCCCTAGCCGGTGGCTAGCAATGTGCGTGGCTTTTCACAAACAGTCATAAAACCCGTGTGACCAATGCCACCACCAGTAGTACTCCACTTCACTGCACGCCATGGCCGTGTGATGTTTTGCTGCAATGCTCGCTTGCTGCTACTGCGACTAGGGGTGCGCAGAAAAAGACCGAATCAAAAGATTGAGACCGAGACCAAGAAATTCGGTGCTAGACAGTGAAAGATAGAATTTTGTTTGGTCAATTTGGTTAGTTTTCTCGATTAACCGAATAGACTGAAAAGACCGAATTAATAAAAAAATATATAAATGCAACATACAATCCACCAAATTCAATAGGATTAAACTTTAATTTTCACATCCTTACTTCTTCTATACATGCAACCTAATAGGAGTTTTTACTCATACATGCTTACAAATTTTTTTGTGATTTTTGTGTTGAAAATTTTTATTATTTTTTTTTGCATATATGAAAATATTGTTAAATTTCGGTCAGAACCGAGACCGAATTTGTCGGTCATGACATATTTGCGTTGAAATTCGGTCTTCACTTTTCAAAGACTAAAATAACCGAAAGACCAAAGATTAAGACCGAAATTTTCAATCAGATCGAATGTCCACTCCTAACTACGCCAGCGCCACCCTCCCCTACCAAACGACACACGCACAGAGCAATAGAACATCACAGGGGAGGGGAGGTGCCAGGGGTTCTGCGCCTCTGCTGGTTGCTTCTTCTTGGGCGTGGCCAATGAGCCGAGCCAACCGCTGGACAATGCCTACGATGATCGGATGAGAGAGGTTGCCCTCATCTCAATGATCATAAAAAGGCACGCGACATTGCGAACTGCTAATCTTAATTTACAGAAGATCACTGTTACAGATCTACTATGGCTCACATGTATAGGAGTAGTACAGTAAATACTACTTCCTCCGTTTCACAATATAAGACTTTTTAACATTGACCACATTCATATAGATATTAATGAATCTATATCTAGATATGAAATTTTTACATTGTAAAACAGATATCTAGATTCATTAACATCTAGATGAATTTGAGCAATGCTAAAAAGTTTTACATTGTGAAACGGAGGAAGTATTTAGTAGCAGGGGTGGAGACAGCGTGGGGGCGGGGGGTCTAAGACCCCCTACCCTAAATATACCATTATAGCCCCCATAATACCCTTAAAATTCTAATCCATATATTAATAGATGAGGGGCTAATATAGACCTTGTTTGAGGTTGTTAGAAGGCCAAAAAAAAAAAATCCTAACCCAACCCTAAATCTTGGTTTAGCCCCCGCTATAATTTCATACAGGCTCCGCCACTGTTTAGTAGTGCTTTTGAAGTTGATCGATTTGTAGTTGTACTAGTATACTACTATCTGATAGAGGAAAAATGGCTGGGTGGTGACTGGATGGAGGGCTGTGTCCAGGGACGCAAGGGGGTTGCTGTTTTGGGCCCGTTGAGCTAGAGAGAAGTATGCCATGTGCCATGGAGAGAGATTCTAATCACTCAGATGGCGTACACTTATTTATTACATGTCAACTAAATGATTTTAATAAAATTAAACAAATTAATAGCATAGATTAATATGTAATGAGTAAATTTTGCAAAACTACAAATATATTGACCAAACTGTCACAAAAGTATAGATTTAAAACGCATCGTAAAAATACAGATTTAACATCAAATTTATCAGAAAGCTACAGATTTGAGGTGAAGCATCTCGAAACTACAGATATTGTAACAAAGTTATCGCAAAACTACAGGTATAGCGTCAATTTAATCACAAAACTTGAACGTTTATACCTCAACTATAATAATTTAAACCACAAAATCTATATTTTGTGATAACTTTATTACGAAATATGTAGCTTTTTCATACTTAGCCTTAAACCCGTAGTTTTGTGTTTATTGTTAAATCTGTAGTTTATGAAATTTACTCACTCCACAAATATAAAAGTTCAAATTTCAACTTCTATAAAATCATAACAAAAATAGAAATAGAAAATGAATAGAGTGATTATAGTTTAATCTGTTATGTTTGTTACAATTCGTAGTAGTTTTCAAATTTAAACTTGCGTATTTATGAAGTAATATATTACTACATATTAATACAATATATATATATATATAATTAATATAATAATTATAATAATTTAGGGTGTGTTTGGATATTGTGGTCATCCATATTTATATGGATATTTGTGGTGTTGTTTTTTTGTTTGGCTAGGTAGATATGGTCTTCCAGTTTCTTATTTGGTTAGATGAACGAAAATCAGTAGAATGAAAACAATAACATATTAGTTAATAATAAAATATATTAATTTTTATTAATACATCCATAATCTATTCTAATTAACAATAAAATATACTCCCTCTGTTTTAGGTTATAAGGTGTTTTGACTGGTCAAAGTCAAACTGCTTCAAATTTGACCAAGTTTATAGAAAAAACAGTGATATTTTCGACCCAAGATAAATTTATTATAAAAAAATATATTTAACTATTAATTAATAAAAAATAATTTGATAATGTAAATATTACTATATTTGTTCATAAACTTAGTCAAACTTAAAGCAGTTTGACTTATAACCTGAAACGGAGGGAGTACTAATTATATCTAATCAACGCTAGTTTTGATAAGTTAATTACATATCAATAACAAAATGTATTGATTATTAATAATCTATTACAAGATTAGCAAAGATTAATATTCTCATCTACTCCTTCATTTCATATTATAAGACTTTTTAGCATCACCCACATTTATATATATGTTAATGAATCGTTTCATATGTATGTCTAGATTCATTAACATATATATAAACTGGCATGGTGGTCCACGCAGATTGCGCGACTAGCATCATTATATTTTTTTCTCATATAATAGCATATATGTTTTATTAACGTATTATTTAAATATATTAAAATGACAATATAATTTTAGATTTTGTACTAACTTTACGAAACTACTAATGTGTAATATTCATATTGTATTTTATATACGTGTTAGTTACTAATTATTTTTAATATCAAATTTTAGTTATTTGTAAATTATATTCCTATATGGACTCTAGACTTGTCTTTCAATATTTCCTTTTTTTTAATTATGAACTTTCGTTATCTGTATTTCTATATAGACTATAGGCTCTTCTTCCAATATTATTTATTTTTAATTCTGAATTTTTATTATTTCTAATTGTATTTCTACGTAGACTCTAAACTCATCTTTCAATATTCTTTAATTTTTAATTTCGAATTTCAGTTACTTCTAATCGTGTTCTTGTATTGACTTTAGATTCTTCTTCACATGTTTTTTTAAATTTCGAATTTTAGTCATTTGTAAATTGTATTTTTATACGAACTCTAAATTCTACTTTTAATTTTATTATGTTTATTCCAAATTTTAGTTAGTTTTAAATTCCTATATAGACTCTATACTCTACTTCTAATATTCCTTATTTTTAATTTCGAATTTCTATTATTTCTTAATTGTATTTCATATGGACTCTATGCTCTACTTCTAATATTCCTTATTTTTAATTCCGAATATCTATCATTTCTTAATTGTATTACTATATGGACACTATCCTCTACTTCAAATATTCCTTATTTTTAATTTCGAATTTCTATTATTTCTTAATTGTATTTCTGTATGGATCTATACTCTACTTCTAATATTCCATATTTTTAATTCCGAATTTCTATTATTTCTTAATTGTATTTCTATATGGACTCTATACTCTACTTCTAATATTCCTTATTTTTAATTCCGAATTTCTATTATTTCTTAATTGTATTTCTATATGGACTCTATACTCTACTTCTGATATTCCTTATTTTTAATTCTGAATTTCTATTGTTTCTTAATTGTATTTCTATATAGACTCTAGTCTCCTCTTTCAATATTCCTTATTTTTTAATTCCGAATTTTAACTATTTCTAAATTGTATTTCTATATGGACTCTATTTTTCTTTTTCTTTGATTAATGTGGAAATTTCTTGGCCGTGAGAGCGAACGTGGAGGCTCTTTTTTCTATTCCTTCGATAAGTTAATAGATATGGACGATGCTAGAAAATCTTATAATATAAAACGGAGGTAGTAGCTAATTTGGCCGAATACTCTCGTCCAACATCTTCGTGAAATATTCGCTCAACTAATCATCCTAGGCCCTGTTTGGAAGATTAGCCCAGGGCTAATTTTGAGAGCTAATGTTTAGTCATGAATTGATATGCTAAATATTAGCCTAGGGTGGTATGTTTGGATCCATGGGCTAATTCAAGGCTAAAAGGTGAAGAGAGAGTATAAAGAGAGGAGAGAGAATGAGAGAGAAAGCTGCTTTTTGATGGTCCCCACATAAAATTAGCTCCATTAGCACCCCTTGGAGGGGCTAATGTTTTGAGGGGGGCTAATTCACATTAGCTCAAAATTAGGCCACCTGTTTGGATCCTTAAGAGCTAATTTAAGGCTAAAAAGTGAGGGCTAAACATTAGTCAATAGAACCAGACAGGGCCTAGAAACTGAATCGTCATATTTTATTCATTCAGGAATATCCCTCCACGCTTTCCTTCCGCTAGTGGCGTCTTAAAATAAAAAGTTGGCTAGTGGGGAACTGGGGAGTCGCGAAGCCACGCCTAGGTAACGGCGACGAGCCGACGACGCCGGTGAGGACAACTCCGGCGGGAGACCTGACACCGCAACACGGTCGGAGCGTCGTCGGAGGTATTGCAACTCGTTTGCCTTGTACCTGCAGTCGTGGTCTTCGACGAAATGCTGGCCCGAGCTGAGCTGCCGGCAGTAAGGCCGCGCGAGGACGCGAGGTGTTCGACGCATTGCCTGAGCCGGCGGCCCTGTCTCCGGGGTCTGCACTCTACAGCCGTGGGTTGCTTGTGCCCCGGGAGGCGTTTCTTGGAGCGCGCACGCTTGGCTGGAAATTGCTGGGGTACAGACTGAACTGTACTTGAGCACGGCGATGTCTGATGTTTCTCGTGTGAAGGTATATTGTTCCACTGCACGCCTCTCATAGTCTCAAACTTCAGTGCTGGGATAGGTTGATAATACGTTGCTACTTACTGTTGCCAATTTGACATAGTAGAGTACACCTTCCAATTCATCTATGGTGACCCTGGATTATCTATTTAGGAGTTGTGTAAAAAAAGGAGAGGAAAAGTATATCTTCAGGAATCCTAGCAACCAATTATTTTTGTGCTAATCACTGGTATTTAGTTTGGGACATGATAAGATCAACATGGCATTAGTTTATTTGTACCATGTTTCCTTTTACTAATGCTGGTTTTAGTGGGCTTGTATATACTAGCACGGGTCTAACTCCAAGGTGACCCTGTGATGCTTTTATTAGTGTCAATACCAGCCAGGCTGGTGTGGATTCTCATCATTGATCGGTTCCAACTAGGGCTGGCCAGGAAGCTCGTGGCTCGTTAGCTCGCTCGGCTCGTGAGAAGCTCGGCTTGGCTCGGCTCGGCTCGTTTGGTTTTCCTAACGAGCCGAGCTTGCATTTCAGCTCGTTAGAGATAACGAGCCAGCTCGAGCTGGCTCGCGAGCCGCTCGCGAGCCTTAACGAGCCAGGGCAGATGAGAATGGAGGCCCAGCCCAACAGCCCAACTCGGTTGCCGGCCTGCCGCCTGCCGAAAACCCTAGTACTCCCAGACGGCCTGACGCCCAGAGCCCCAGACCCCAGTCTATCCCCAATTCCCCATTCCCCAATTCCCGATCTGGCTTGGCGGCCGATCTCGTCTCCTCCCCTTCTCTCGTTCTCGTCTCCGACCGACTCTCCTCCCTGGCTCCCCGCCGGCCGCCGCCAGCCCGCCAGCCACCACCACGGGCCCACGGCTGCACGGCACCACCCGCCAGCCGCCAAGCCAGCCATCGCAAGGCGCCGCCGCCAGCAGCCACCGCCAAGCGCCGCCACCAGTCGGCACCGCCACGCGCTGCCACCAGCCACCACCGCCAAGTGCCGCCGCCTGCCGGCACCGCCAAGCGCCGATGCCAGCCACACCGCCAAGCGCCGCCGCCAGCCGCCACCACCGCCAAGCGCCGCCACCAGCCACCCGCCAGCCGCCGGCGCCACGCGTTTGAGAAGCAACTCAACGCCGCCGTCCACTGAAGGAACTCGACGCTGCCATCTCGCCATCCACATTCCACGCCGCTGCTTACTGACATGGAGGAGGCGCCGCACCCGCAACCACCAAGCGTGGAATCCCAGAGCAAATGCGCGAGCGCGAAGCCAACCTCGTCGGCAGCTACAGGTGCAGGTGCAGCGGCACGTACACGCTCCGCACGGATTGCTCAAACCAAGGTTGGCCGTAGTCGAGGATCCGCAACCGCAAGGACCGCAATCGCAAGTGGGGCAATTGGATCGCCGTCACCGGCATCAGCATCACGAGCTAATGTGTCCACGACCGTGGTATGTATCTAAATTCCACAATCACTTGATTTATACCACTGTGAATTTTGCATTTAGCTTTGAATGAATCGCTATACCTACTAGGCTACTACCAAGGCAGCTAGCAGCTAGTAATCAGTTTGTGTGTGTATGAATTGAATTTGTGCAGGAAATGGACATGGTGGCCATTTCAGATGGAGGGGAGGATGAAGAAAACAGCTTTGACTTGAATGATGAGATGTCGGTGAGCCTACCTTCGTCAAGAAGCAGCAGTGAGGGAGAGGATGGAGATGACACATCAAAGACTCAAAAACGAGGTGCAAAAAGGCCAAAGGCAGGTATTTCACTATCTCCTTCGAAAGTTAAGATAACAAGAGGAAAGCATGCTAGTTGTTGGAAATATTATAAGGTGATCAATGTTCCCTCCAAGAAGGAAAAGGGAAAATGGAATGTAAGGCAAAGTGTAGGTTTTGTCATCACAACTATGCATATCGCCCTGGGGGAACCACTACAACACTAAATCGTCACTTAGATAAGTGCACAATATATCTGAACAAGCTTGCAAAGGCTAAAGCTCAAGGTACACTTGATTTTCCTTTAGCTGATGGTTCTATGGTTGTGCATCCTACTGAGTATGATCATGATCACACTAAACTTTTGATTGCCCGTATGATAATTCTACATGATTACCCATTTAGAATTGTTGAGCATAAAGGGTTTAATGCCTTGATGAAGTGGATGAATCCTAGCTATGAATTCATTGGTCGCAAGGCCATAAAAAGTGAATGCATGAAATTGTATGAATCTGAAAAGGAACATCTCAGGAAAAGTCTTAGGGAGGCTGAGACCATAAGTTTAACTACAGATATGTGGACATCAAATCAAAACCTTCAGTATATGTGTTTGGTGGCTCATTACATAGATGTTAATTGGGTTTTGCAATGCCGTGTCCTAAACTTTGTTGAGGTGGAGCCTCCTCACACCGGTATTGTCATAGCTCAAGCTATTTTTGATTGCTTGGTTGATTGGAAAATAGAGGACAAGGTCATGACAATAACCCTTGATAATGCTTCAAACAATGACACCGCTGTTTCAAATTTGAAGTCTAAGCTTGCTGCTAGAAAGAATGCTCAGTTTGATCCAGATTATTTCCATGTTCGTTGTGCTGCCCACATAGTTAATTTGGTTGTTAATGATGGCCTGCAACAAATTCAATCTTTGATAACCAATGTTAGGAACACTGTGAAGTACTTTAAGAAGTCTCCAGCCCGTATGTATAAGTTTGTGGGTGTGTGCAACACTTATTCAATTAAAGTTGGTAGAGGGTTGTCTATTGATGTTAAAACAAGGTGGAGTTCGACCTATCGGATGCTAGAGACATGCATTGAGTATAGAAATGGTTTTGATTATTATGCTGAATCAGACACCAAATATGAATGGCTACCTTTACAATCTGAATGGGATTTGTTTGAGAAAATTCAGCCAATCTTGGGAACAATGTCTGGTGCAACCACTGCATTTTCAGGGTCAACCTACCCCACTGCCAATGTTTTCTATCCATACATAGCTAAAGTTAAGATTGCAATATTAGCTTCTAGAGCACAAGCACAAACTGCACTGTTAGAAGCTGCAAGGTTAGGGCAGCAGTCTAGACTTTATGAACCTGACCCTAATGATGTATTGCTGGTGACTATGGCTGATGCAATGTTGGAAAAATTCAATAAATATTGGGAGAACACAAACAATATCATGATCATTGCTACAATCCTTGACCCTAGGTTCAAAATGAGGTACATTAGATGGTGCTTCAGTGAATTTTTTGGTGAGACAAGGTGTGTAACAGAGGTTGCTGCCATAACTGATGAGATGGAAAAACTCTACAGAAAGTATGAGCGGATATGTCGCCACAACCAAGGTGGGAACAGTCCACACAATGGTCACTCGGCCTCATCCTCAATCTCTACTACCACCTCATTGGCTTCAATTATTCCAAGTGGATTTCAATCCTTTTTGCAGTCAAATGCTAAAGAATCCTCAAAGTCTGAGTTACTCATCTATCTAGATGAACCAAATGTGTCCCTCGAAGATAGCACTTTCAACTTACTCAATTATTGGAAGGTAAATGCCCATAGGTTTCCTGTTGTGTCCAACATGGCAAAGAGGTTCTTGGCTGTTCCAGCTAGCAGTGTGTCATCAGAGTCCACTTTTAGTACCGGGGGAAGAATTCTTGATGACTACCGGAGTTCTTTGAAGCCAGAAACAGTTCAGGCTTTGGTTTGTGCTTCAAGCTGGATAAGAGCCTCTCAAAATGACAATAGTGCACCTATCCCTGTGGTATGTAATGCAATGATTATTTTTTATTCTTTATTTTTGTCAAGTCTTTTGTATAAAATGTTCACTTTGGACTGTTTTCATAGGGAGAAAATGGAGATGATGACATCGAAATAGTGGACTTCCCCAATTGTGTGGTGGCAAGCAACTAGTAGGGACAATTTATATTTATTTAATAAGTTTATGACTTTCACCCATTTATATCATACTCTATAATTTGTTTACCTGCAGGCTACAAGCCTACACCCTATGGGAGAAAGGGAGTGTGGGACTATGGGAGAAAGGGAGCTGCCAATTGCCATGCTATTTGTGTTTTGTGTTTATGTGCAACTGTGTTGGATGAAATCATGAAAATGATGAACCTTGCAGGCTGCAGCTTTACTAGATATGCACTTATGCTAAATATTGGTGTATTGAAGTATTGAACTATTGAACTTGAAGCATGGATTATTGTACTGGACTGAACCTATGTTTAATTACAGTCTTTTGTTGAACTATTTTGAAGTTAATTGCAATATGTGATGAACTGATGATGTATGTCACTATGTCAGTAACTCAGAATGTGTCATTGTGACTGTGGAGTACTGGAGTGTGGACGTTTATGTACTTGTGAAATGTGTTTAATCCAAGACTTTGAGTAGATTACTTATATGTGAATGTGATTTGTTGCTTTGATATTTTCATGTAACAATTTATCATACTATCATTATGCATGCTTGGCTGCTTGCTGTGTTGGCTGTTGCTGAGGGCTAGGGGCAGTTTTTGGATGGTTTGGCTCGCGAGCTTAACGAGCTAGCTCGAGCTTTTAAACGAGCCGAGCCGAGCTGGGTTTTTAGCTCGTTAGGATAACGAGCCGGCTCGGCTCGTTATCCTAACGAGCTTTACCGAGCCGAGCCGAGCCGAGCTGGCTCGATATCCACCCCTAGTTCCAACTTATTAGTCATTTACAAGTTTACATGTCTCACTCAATTTCTTTATAGTAACTTGGGCAAGCTGCTAGAAAACAAAACATTGCTATTGCCGTGGGGTCAAGCAAGCAGTCCCATGCGCCAACCCTCTTGTGCCTCTCATTGTTTGGTCATTGACTTCAGCAGGTCTTCTCTCTTTGTCTCCTTTGTATCGTTCACAATATCTCTGTTCTTGTTGTTCTTCACCACCATTGAGCTACCATCGAATCCTGAAACCAATTTCACTTTTCTGAGGAGCCGTCGTGCATCAGATAGAATGCAATGACGGAGGGTGTCTCTGACATGCAACCTCACCGGGGGAGTGAGAGCATAGCTGAGGCGGATGGCGGACACCCTCAGAGTGAGATTGTTGAGAGCAATAGCCTCCCTACTCCAGAATCGCGCGATGATGGTCAGATGGCAGATGAAGCAGCCGACATCGAAAGCCAGCAAGATAGCAAGATGGTTGAAATTAAAGACCAAGATTCTGGCAACAGCTCCAGCAGGTCAGCATCACTCAATAGCCATGAAGTCAGGATCAAGACTGATTTTGTGTTCTTGTGGAGGTTGCGAAAGTATTTGCTACTTCTTGCTGTGCTAGCTGTTAGTGTCACATACAATGCTGGACTGAGTCCACCAGGGGGATTTTGGACGGACGACAGCCCTGTCCATCATGCTGGTGATCCTCTCCTTCCATCTAAATTCTTCCAGCGATATGAAGCATTCTTTTACTGCAATGCAACAGCCTTTGCTGCATCTCTGGTCTTAATCATCTTGCTTCTAAGTAGGGGTGTGGCCAATCAGCATTTATGGCTTCGTGCGATGCAGGTTACCATGATATTGGACCTCTTTAGCCTTATGGGGGCCTATGCTGCAGGGAGTTGCAGAGCTCTAAAGTCTTCTGTTTATATATTGGTGCTAGTTTTATCTGTTTTCTTCTATGTTGGAATCCACATTCTAGTATTCATAAGGGTGGTTCCAAAATGGTTAAAAGAGGGTGTACAAACATTTATGCATCAAACTGTACAGAAGCTGCAAAGAATGCTGAAGCAAGTTCTAACCATTTGTCATCTCCCCAAGAAGCAAAGGAGCAACCAAAATGATAAGGAAGAAATCGAGGAAGCTCGTAAGTTCATATTGATGCTCTCAACTTTTGCTGCTACTATCACATACCAAGCTGGAATGAGTCCACCTGGTGGCTTTTGGGCTGAAAACAGTCATGGCTACCGTCCAGCTACTTTTGTTCTTCGCAGGCACAACCTTCGCCGCTTCAATATTTTCACCTGTTCCAATGCAACTTCTTTTGTGGCATCTTTGGTCACAATCATATTACTTCTGAGCACAGAATTGAGCCGGCATGGGATAAGGACTCAGGCATTGTTTGTGTGTGTCATAGCCGAACTGTTTGGTCTGATTTTTGCTTATGCTGCAGGAAGCTGCAGGGATGTTGCAACATCACTGTCTGTGATCTTCATAATTGTTGTGGTTTTAATATGTGCCTTGATCCTTGTTATGTTCTTTCAATCCAGAACTGTAACAATTTGGATCGATAATGCATTGAGACCTAGATTTGACCATTTTCTAGAAATGCTTTCATGGCCACGGGAAAACCGGTTATCAGATGGAAATCGAGAAGGACCCTTGTCAAGTTCTCGGCAGGATACAGATCATGGAAATTTGGGTGACCAATCAACTGAAGATGTAAAATCTGCACCAACCAATGATTTGGAAAGCATAAAAGATAGCATACCCAATATGGCAAATCAACTTCATGATCAGAAAGATAATTTGGCCATTGCAACAGTACACTCTTCATCAGCAGATGTACCAAGTAGAAAAGGTCCTCTGCCAGAGCAGGTCTTGTCCGAACCAATTTCAGCACTTGGTGATCGGACAGTATCAGCTGATGTGCCTGACACTGAACATAATATAGCCAAGTGCCAGAGGGATCGTGAAGAACAAACTCAAGAACTGAGCGGTCATCATGATAGTTCAGAGGCTGATGGAGAAGTCAGAAAGTCGGAGGATGGCATTGTGAGCAATAATGATGGCACAAAGGATAAAGGTAGAATCAGTGGTGACAGCGAGAAAAACCCAGATGATGTTCGTCTTAAGAAGTCACGCACATACCTATTGCTTCTTGCAATTCTTGCAGTTTCCTTGACATATCAGGCGGGTATAAATCCACCAGGTGGCTTTTGGACATCAAATACCCCTAGTCACTCAGCTGGTGATCCCATCCTTGAGGATAATTACCATAAGAGATACCTTGCATTCTTTTATTTCAACGCGATTGCCTTTCTAGCTTCTCTTGTCATGCTCATTATGCTCCTGAACAGGAAGATGAGCAACAAGGTTATAAAACGCCGTGCACTACAAACGGCGATGATAACTGACTTACTTGCTCTATTGGGGGCTTTTGTTGTTGGGAGCTGCAGGGAGAAAACAAAGTCCATTTACATATCAGTGGTGATATTTTTTGTAGTAGTTGCATATACTTTTCTTCATGTTTTGGCTTCAAAGTATGCAGTTCCTGAACAGTGGAAACAATTGTTTAAGCGGCGACAGGATGTACTACAAGAACATCATGTAGATAATGATGCAAAGGATGCTCATGAGAAGGACTTGGAGCGGAGGCGTAATTTGCTATTCATTCTTGCTATTCTAACAGCAACTGTCACATATCAAGCTGGCCTGAACCCTCCAGGTGGCATTTGGCCTGATGGGAGTGGCAAACCTGGCAATCCAGTTCTTCAAGATAGCCATCCAAAGCGTTATGATGTTTTCTACTATTCAAATGCTCTCTCATTTGTGTCATCTGTGGCTGTTATCATACTACTTGTCAATAGGGAATCGTGCGAGCATGGAATCAAGTCCTACGCACTGCGTGTCTGCTTGATAGCGGGTTTGCTTGGTCTCCTGATTGCTTATTCTGCAGGAAGCTTCAGGAAAGTAAAATCAATAGGTTATCTCATTATCATAACTGCTGCAGTTCTCATCTGTCTTTTAATTCAAGTTCTTGTACTGTCATCAACAAATGATGCACTAGAACCGCCAGCCAGGTCAGGGAGATGGTTACAGAAGTTTTTTGGGCTTGCTGATTCTCAAAAGTCACTAGCAAGTCCAGGTCAGTCAAAAAATGAAAGTGACAAGTCAGATCCCCTTATCAATGAAAAGAAAGAAAAGAGGCATAAGTACTTGATGCTGCTTGCAATTCTTGCTGCATCCATTGCTTACCAAGCTGGTCTGAACCCACCCGGGGGTTTCTGGTCAGAGGACAGTCGTGATGGCTACAAGGCTGGCAACCCGCTCCTTAAGGACATACACTCCAGACGCTATATGGTGTTCTATGTTTCTAATTCCATCTCTTTCATGGCATCTATTGCTGTAATCATGCTTCTGCTGAGTAAATCTGTGAGAAAGAATAAGGTTCCACTCCAAGCATTGTTCTTGATCATGATACTAGACCTGTTGGCTCTGATGACAGCTTATGCAGCTGGAAGCTGCAGAAAGGTCAGAACATCAATATTTGTCTTCTTGGTAGTATGCGGGGTGGTGCTATACCTTATGATTGTAATTATTTTATTGAGTGGTATCGCAAAATGGCTGAAAGAAAGGAAAGGTAGGTGGCCTCTGTGCTGGAGAATAACAAGGAGTAACAAAATAACAAGGAGCTGAGCAGATTGTTGGAACAATGTTTTCAAATTCCTTGATCATTTGGTTCAAGAAATCAAAAGGACAGTAATAGGTGGAGGTAGACTGTGTCTTGTATCACATATAAGTTCTCTTAAGTCATTTTGAATAGTTCAGTGTGCTTGTCATTTCGTTTTAGTTGTTTCCCAAGTTTGGCTAGGGGGCAGTAGTCGCACATGTTCTCAATTGTCTGCCCCATTCTTTTACTTCTTAATGCTATGATGTGCGAACGTCTTGCAGGTTGTTGAAAAAAAAAACTCCTTTTTGCCACTGTTGTGATGTCTTTGTATTTTAGATGAAAATCATGTCTTTGGTTTTTGTTCAGGACTACAGGATATGATGTTCTTTGTTGCTGAACAAAATATTCAACATTTTTCATTTAGGGAGATAAGATTCCAGACGCAGCAGCCTTTTTTATTCTTCTCCTTGGTTGAATATGATTAGAATTTTGATCATGTTTAGTTGTATGTAACTGATTGGTTTCATGAGGAGATGAATAATGCTTGAAACATGCGAATTTTCTTTTCGTTCGTTATAATACAGGTGGCTGTTCACATGAAAATGAATTGGACAGTTTTGCATGAATAGGTTTGGGGAAACATCTCGTTGGTTTTATCTCAGGATTGGGTTAAGTCGTATTTTGGTCCTTGAAATCTTCTTGAAGTCCACTTTTCACCCTTAACTAAAAACACCATTTGTTGTTGACCCTCAACGGTTAACATTCAAAACCGGGTAAATCACACCCTAAACCATATTCCAAGGTGGCTTTGATTGGCATGATAGTAAGCATGTACACCAATTAAGTTTCATTTCATTGATGTGAACTTATCTAAGTGTCATCTATGTCTGGAAAATATGTATAATAGGAGTTGGCACTTGTGAAAACCACCTTTGTTTTAAACAAAACCACTATAAAATAGGCCTTAAGGTGGTGTTTGTCCAGTTTTGAAACTTGAGGCTGAAAAACAACTGGTCTTTTAGTTGAGATCGAAAAATGAATTTTGAGAAGGGTTCAAAAGACAAAATGGAATTTTCCCGCCAAGATTTCTCCATCCATTTTGACACCCCCAATAGAAAAGGCAACTGATGTACATCTTGGGGAGAATGGCATCACCAGGTTCTGCAATTTGTGATAACAAAATCTTCACTAGTTCCCTTCTATTCCAGTTGATATTAAGCTTTGGTTATTTAGTGCTATATATATATTGCTGCCAGTCAAGTTGCATTAAGCTTTTGCATCGACTATGTAGTTTTATGCAGAGCATACATATGTGGTACTGGCACATATCCTGATTCCCTTCTTTACCTGTGATATTTAAGATAAGGAAAGTGAAGGAAAACGATTGTAGCTGTGTTGACTTTCTGCACTTCTCCAGGTACTTATTTTGTGACTTTGCCGCTATGGTTCACTGATACTGCGATACGCTTTTTTTTTTCTGTATTCAGAACCTTATCAAGTTCTGCAATCCCAAACGCAAGAGGATCTCTGAGGGTAGCAAAAAGAAAAGGAACATGGGATGGTATAGATGCACATAACTCGCATCAGGTAAATCATTTTTAATTATTAATTCCTGTCCTAGAGAAAATCCTGTGTCTATCTTTGAATTCCCTATCTTTTTTTTTTTTCTAATTTGTAACATGCTGTTTACTCAGGACATAGCAAAATACTGTAAATGGTCCTGTTCTCAAAGAATGCTGCCCTAGTGTTCCGTGTGCACTGTAAGTAAAGTTACTGCAGTGCTGAGATATTGAAGAGCTTCAATGGTACCATCACTCCATCAGAAACAGTAAGAAACTCTTCCATCCATGTGACATGTTCTATTATTCTGTACCCTATGCATTTTGTCATATAGGGCCTGTTGTATTCACAGGATCGAATTCTTTACGCGGGTAATTTGATATAAAACATTAGAATGACCTCATTTGGTGGGGGTGCCTAAGGGGATTGAATTACTTGTGTTTATCAAAAGGGATTGTTAGCCCTTCACTCTTGGCAGATTCTCTCTGGGAACAGAGTTTGGCACAATTAGCTACATGGATAGTTAGACATTGACACAGGCTACAAAACAACAGTTCCTACTGAAATCATCGATGCACCCCAATCTTTAGCTGTTTTGTCATAATAAAGCATAGTGTTGGGAATTACTAGAGTGAAACTCGAATCAATAGTGCTAATCTGAGATAGATTTAAGCCACATGCACACCTGATGGCCTAAAAATGTGGGTGGCTGTTAACAACTGAGTCAGAATAAAGCTCTGATGATAGCATCATGGGTATAAAGTGGCGACTATGGGAGTTAGTAGACTTCACTATTTTCCTTTACCTTTCTTTGATATAAACCTTCATATGTAGTCATATATCAGGGTTGCTGCATGTTAGATAGAACACACTGAAAATCCAACTCATCTTGAGTTAAAGCTAGAGTTCAGCCTGGAGTCTGGACACAATATTTTTCTTTTCTTTTCTGTAATACTAGCTCTCACTTCGGTTCATGGAACATGTTCCTGCATCGACATTCATTGAATGAATGCAAAAGGTCATACTGATGGTTGCTATAGCAACACGAGAATTTGTATAGGCAATGTACCCCAGATTCTTTATACCAAGCACGTTTTTCTTTTCTAGGTAAATTTGGATGGACATATTGAAATTGGAGGCCTCTACAATTGTACTACCTCCTTTTCAAGTTATAAGACTTTCTAGCATTGCCTACATTCATATAGATATACATGTCTAGATTCATTAACATATATATGAATGTGAACAATGCTAGAAAGTCTTATAATATGAAACGGAGAAAGTAGCATTACCCTAAAGAAAGCTTTTTACCCCCAAAGCTTTGAAGGTCCCCACAATAATCTTTCTTTCACTCATATCCCAAAGCCAAACTCTGTGGTCACGTGGCTGTTTTACTCTTCTCTCAAAGTAATCTTCACAGAATCACAGCCCCATATGGTTACAAGCAAAACGAGTCAATCTCACATGCAGACGCCAAAGCGTATACTGCTAATCTTCAGACAGCAATGACAAGTAGATTCAGCGAAAATGGGAATATCTTTTAGTAACTGATACTGATTCAGATATATCAAATATGGCAGGCATGATTTTCGAGAGAGGGCATAAGCTGGAGATCAAGAGGATGCATGTATATGAAGATCTGTGTAAGAATAAGATGATGGGCCATAGACCCTTACACTCGAACTGCTGGAGGCTCCCTGCATTTGCCGTCCATGATTGTGATGTCCAACCTTCTGCATGGCAAATTGGTGAGCGATTCTGAGGATCAATCTGGTCCAACTTACTGGACCGTCGCTTGTCGGGAGGCATCTTGCGTATCTTTTTTTTTTTTTGAAAGGAATCAGCACGAGATTGTGCTATTTCATTAGATATAGGCGTAAAAAAATACAACCCCTAGGGGCAAAAAAAAGAGCTGTACAAAATTACATAAGCGCTATGATTAAGTTGGTAGGAATTCTCCAAGTCGCCTTGCGCCTGCCATTATCCAGGTTCTTGCCTCTTCCTTTATTTTTGCCATAAGGTTGGGGGCTGCCGTTTCCTTGTGCTCGAAGATCCTTTGGTTCCTTTCTTTCCAGATTTCCTAGGCTATGAGTAGGATTAAGGATCGCAGCCCTTTCTTGGGCACTTCCCTTTTGTTGGCTAGCATTTCCCACCATTCGTGTACGCTTTGGCATGGCTCCCAATTGCTGATAAGCCACCCAGTTGGCCGTCAGTCTCCAGATCCTTCTGGTGTATCTACAGGAAGCTAAAAGGTGGCATACCGTCTCGTTCGTCATACGGCATAGGGGGCACACTCCGCTATTTGGCCATCCTCTTGTAGCTAGTCGATCGGAAGTCCAAACTCTATTTTGAATCACAAGCCACGCATAAAATTTGCATTTTGCAGGGGCCCAAGATTTCCAAATTAGGGGATTGAAGTTGGTGCCGACTGTTCCTAGACACTGAGCCTTGTATGCCGAAGAGGCCGAGTATTCTCCATGATTCGAGAGCTTCCAGACGATGTGATCCGACTCATTTTGGTTTAGCATGATGTCCTGGGTTGCGCTCCATAGGGACACAAGCTGGCTGATCAGCTCCAGTGTAAAAGTAGTGTTCCCATTTAGCTCCAGGTCATCGATGCAGGTGTCATTTTCAATGCCTTCACGTAGCGATTTGCTTCTTTTCTTGGAAATAGCATAGACGAGCGGCATGTTGTCCTTTGGTCTTTGCCCGTCCAGCCAGGCGGACTCCCAAAAGTAGATCGTGTTTCCATCCCCTATTGTTATTTTGGTAGCTGCAGCGAAGAGAAGTTTGTCCGTTTCATCACACGGTGTCTCTAGTCCCACCCACGGCTTGGTGGGGTCTTTCCATTCATGCCAGAGCCATCTCAGTCGCAAGGCCCTCGTAAACATCTCCATGTTCAGAACCCCTAGTCCTCCTAGTGCGGTTGGGAGGCACGTCCTTTTCCAGTTCACCTTGCATTTCCCTCCTGTAATGTCCCCCGTCCCTACCCAGAGGAATTTTCTTCTCTTTGCATCTAGAACGCCCAAGGCTTCCTTAGAGATCTTGAGGGCAGTGAGCAAATAGATAGGCTGCGCAGTCAGTACCGACTTGACTAGAGTTGATCGCCCTGCTGGCCTGATGTTTTTTCCCCTCCAGCCGGTGACCCGGTTTGCTATTTTATCAAAGATCGGTTGGACGTCCGTCTTGCGCAGCCTTCCAAGCAGAAGCGGTAGTCCTAAGTATTTTATGGGGAATTGGGCCCGTAACGCTGGGACGCCCTCAAGAATGGAGTCTAGATCAATGCTTGCACATCTGATTGCCGCCACCTGCGATTTTTGCATGTTTGTGACCAATCCTGTCGCACGTCCAAAACGCACGAGAATGTCGGTGAAAGCCTGGACATCCTCTCTAACAGGGTTTATGAAAACCACTGCGTCATCAGCGTACATGGAGATTCTAAGGCGAGCCGCTCTGCCTCTTAGCTTGGTTATGGCGTTTAGTTCCGTTGCTTTGGAGAGGATCCATTGTAGGGGGTCAATTGCCAATATGAAGTGAAGCGGTGATAGCGGGTCCCCTTGTCTGAGTCCTCTGCCATGTGCTATCTTTTCTCCTGGTATCCCGTTGAGTAGTACTTGCGAGGTGGAGGTAGTGAGTATGGCCGTCACCCAGTCTCTCCATTTCTGCGGGAACCCATGATGTTGCATCATGGCTAAAAGGTAATCCCAACGCACCGAATCGAAGGCTTTGGTTATGTCAAGCTTGAAGAGAAGCATTGGCCGCCTTGTTCTATGGTATCTTCTTGCCAAATTTCTAACATAGAGGAAGTTGT